ATATTCAAAACGCATTCTATTTAATAACCATGGTTTGAACCCATGCATATTATCAGCTGAGCATCAGACGGATGGAAAAATATACAATTTGTTTTCTTGCAAAATATTCACGTGAAAAATAATTCTGTGCATCATACATTGTTAACTATCGAACATGTAGCTCGAGAAAATCATTTCAGGATAACCACATCTGTGTAATGGTGCACGTATCTCCTCCATTTGCTTGGCTGCATTCAATTGAACGTAAGCAACAAATTGTTCTTTCTCCTCCATGGTCAGTTCATCCAAACCACGGGAGGATTTCACAGACTTTAGCTACATTTCGGGTACACTCCTTAATACGGTATCTCAATCATAAAGCGCTTTGGGGACTTAGAGACACATTAATGATGCTCATTCAATTTCGTCTTAAAGCAGTTTGATGTTGTTTAGGATATTCCAGGTTTGATATGCACTCATTGACACACATTTGTCATAGACAATTGCGTATGAATCTTACATAACTGTTACGTTCACGGATTGTGTTAACCGTTTCATTTATCCCACAGAACACATTGAGAACAACGGCAGGGGTGAACAGGCACGTATTGATTTATTTGTAATGACGTCATTCTATGTCGTCAACTATGATTAATAATAAGAACAAATAGGGAATGAGAGGGTTCGAGTCCTAATAGTTCAGCTCTGGTTCCAGTCATATGTGCATGTGTGCTTGTGTGAAATTGATTACAGTGTCAACAGTTCAAGTGATTGGAAACGTGTTAGGGTGAATAAAGTTGGCCAGGGAAAACTAAGTGGTTGCAAAAGTTTCTTTTGGGCGCTTCAGCGGGGGTTGTTGTTGTGAAAAGGAATACTAACTGGTTCAGCCGTGGCTAAGTTATGACCATTCACTGCTCCTGATTGCCTACATCGAACATTATAGATCTGTCGGAACGGGCTCACTACATTCACCGAGTGATTTGACTTAAAAGGCTGCGAACGCACCACGCTTGTAACTGTCTTAATTGTTCCAGTCCTCAGCCAAGTTGATTGGTGTTCCGGAAATAGATCGGATTGGCACCTGGTCGTGCGGCCAATGCACTCAGTCCCACAGGAAAAGGTGTATGAGTATACACAAAACGAGGCTGCATAATCTGTCAATCTGTCCTTCAATCGGATAGGTTTAGCTATGAACACAGTTTTTAATTGTGCTGCGTGAAATGTTCCGCTTACTACATTTGTGAGCTTTATTTGAAATTGAGAGCTTATTTGATCAGCTATCTGGACAAGTGCCATCTGCTTCGCACGAGTTAGAGAAACTCAAGTCCACATTTGTGAAGTCATGCTACCAAAATAAGCGTGTGTATTTGGAAATCCGTAGGATGATATTGTGCAATCGTTGTGATTACATATAGTGATATTGCAAACTTTCCTCTCAAGTACATAGGAAGAATTAGAAAGACAGTGACGATGAATTAGCAATGCACGACAATGAAACATATATTGCAAAACAATGTTCAACGCAACGTATTTTTGTTGCCAGGCACTTACTTTCTCCAAACAGGAATAGTTCTATGTCGCAGTTGTGTAGTCCAACATGCGGGTACATGAGGGAAGTTCACATAAATGAATGCACTTAGGAAGATAATGTATTAACCTTTTCAAAGAAGGAAATGGCAAACAGATTTTTCGAAGTTCATGACATCGTGAAGGACGAATACATCCAAAAGCCACACACGTTCGCGAACATACCGGAAAACCCTATCCGTGTGTTCTTATGCATTTCTTTTACTGGTTGAATTATTGTTTCAAATACGCAGCTTTTCTGATATGGCACACAATAGATGAAAACATTTTCTTTTGTAAATGTTGCCATTATAGTTCTTGAGTAAACATGTACGCATACTAAAGACAATTAGTCATTAAATAGAGAGAAGCATTTCCTTAATTGCATGCTACGGAGAAATTCGGATCACGTAAATCACGAAATAATACCCTCATCTAAGAGATTGTTTAGTTATTGATCGTTCGACTGAAGTGTAAAGATATTGGTTCTTAGACAAAAACCTTAGCAGATTGAGTATTGAAATAGGGAACCAAAGTTAGTACGCATTACTTACGAGTTCCAGGACCGACAAAAAGCTGAACAGGGCTCTTCTACGGCCTCCTTAACAAGCGGTTAGATTGATTAACGCCTATTCAGACATTATATAATAAGTGCACATGAGCATTCAAGCTCGTACCTAAACTAATTAACTCTTTTAGTTGATATCATTCGCTACTATGAATCATAGAACTGCTAACCACCCAATGAATGGGACACATGTGACCCACTTCACAACTGTCTCAGCATTATAAATGATATATTACAAAATTTGCATCCGAAATTACATCTTTGCTGATTCAAAAATAGCTAGTATAAACATGTAGCACTTCATATTGCTAACTAGAAAAAAGGGGTAAAACAAATCGGGAATTTTTCAAAAGCAAGTGGACGGAAACTACGATCTTAAAGTAAATGCAACGTTGATTCTAATCACAGTACACTCATAAAATCCTTAGTCAAATTTTTCTCAACATCCATGACCAGTGGAATAAAACTAACAGAAAATTCTAACAACAGTAATTGTACACTGGCAAGCCAACCAACACATCCTGGACCCGGTCGTTATCACTGAAATTGGATTTAGCAATCTAAGATATCGGTCCCGTTTGGATAGTGGTTTTCAAACCCAATTATCTTTGACAGTTCAACATTTTAAGCAAACAAAGCAAACAACCAAGTGTTTGCAAGAACAACTCAAAAGAAAACATTTCCCAATTAGTGAGCGGTACACTCATCTTTCTTGCCTGTTCTAATGCGATTTTGTTAGTAACACTAAGATGAAAACCATTCCAGCGGTATGATTGATGCAAAATTGCAAAATCATTATATCAGTAAAGTTGATCTGTTGCATTTCTTACTCTTAGACCATACTCAGATGGAAGGAGTCCTTACTCGTTGGTAATAATATCAGATGTATATTTGATAAAATATAACTAATCATTTAAATACGAGCAATAGACAGCTGTTTCGTCCTATTTACAATTCGTCAGCAGTGCGTACTTTTGTGTCCTTGTCTCGACTCGAACCGAATTTCTTCGGATTGGAACTTGAAACCCTTACCCTTGAACTACACGGTTGCTGGTTATCACCAATCAATTGTTCAAATGGGAGGGGCCGGGCGATATTGAATCATTCGGCGTCAGTCGACATACATATACTGCTGTGTTAGAGAAAAAGCACTCAGTTTCATCTCTGTTTTATAACAGGGCAAATTAGAATTTATCTGCTATTTTTCTTTAGATTGCCTTCTCAGAACGACCTTGAAGCATATAAGGGTATGGATCAAAGTTGCACGATAACTAGGCTTTCATTAAACCTCTTATTCTCATGAACGTAAATGAATATAATGCAACCACCCGCCACACACAAAATTTATATAATAGCAGCTACCGATACTGGGACTTTTACAAAACTAATGAATTGTAAACGTACTAATTTTCAGTGTTGGCGACAGTTGCTGTAGTATCGAATACACGATATCCAAAATGCGGTAAAACATTTTATAATAACTTGCTAACAAATGAAAAGAATGATTCAAATGATTTCAAATTCATTTTGTTTTCTCTCTTTTTTGAGCTGGTGGTTGAGTGATTTAACCGAGTGTATAACATTTGAATACCCGAATCTGTTTAAACAAGAGTTATCCAATTTTGATCAATAATTGCACTCACCAATACATCAAATTATTAATGAACTCCTGTTTTTTTGGTGGCAATCTATAGCATTTGCATTTTCGCAGGACTTGAAATCCGAGTTTTTACCACAACCTTTAGTCTTGCAAACGTTTCGGAAAGTTCTCGACATTCAGAAATTATGAACACTAGCGATATTTTATTGTTTTTCACAATACTATTTGTAAGTCATAAATTTGAAAAGTAAAAATCATATCGTAATATTGTCAGGTTTCAATCAGAGACTGTTTAGGTCCGGTGCAGTTATGCTGTGTCACAATATACTGTGTACTGCAGAGATAGATGTAATATTTGTACACAACCTGGAGCATGGTAGCATAGCAAATGGAATCATAATTAAACGGAAAAAGCAGAAACTTAATAAAGAGTAACTAAACAATGAAATGAATATTGGATGAATGTAACGATTTAGGCGGCTGCTTAATTAATGCAGATTACCCAGTTGCCTAAACCAAATTTATTTATAAGACGCACGTTTAGAGTGGCTTCCTTAAGGAATTCAACTGAATATGGTGTGGTAGTTTACATATTCAAGGGTACCCTCAGCGGTCCGATCTTTATTCGGAAAATGAAGACGGAATTACCAATTTTTGTGCTATTCTGAAAACCATAATTATAATTGTCACGCACAAAACTGTACTAAGGATAAGCATAAATATCAATATCCCAAATGCGGTCAGCCGGTATTGGATGACATGTCATTTTTATAGAGAAGTGGCTTCACCCCTCGTTACTTTACATACCCATGTAGACTCCTCGTGATTGGCTGAGCCGTTATTCGTGACACCATTCGCTTACTGTAGTTTCAACAACACAGAGCGCTGATTGGCTCATTTATTGTTAACCTAGCTGACGTACAACAATGGAACGGTAATCCAAGGATGCTCACAATTTCTACTAGTGATGTTTTAATTGAAGAAACCATTATAAAAATCTCAAACACGTTGCTGTTATTGGATTGTCCACAGAAAACCTGTCAGTGTGGTCTGCGTGGGAGTGATAATCATCTCACGTTTTTGAACATAATATGTTTCGGATGAGAATGACCATGTACAATTAGGTTTGTGAGTTTCGTATCACAAAGTCTACCCCACCCGAAGGTGTACTCAGTTCAATCGAAGCATAATATTCAAACAACTGAAAGTGAATACTAGACAAGAACCACGGCAGTGGATTACTGTCTTTGGGGTGCTTTATCAACAGCCAATACCTGTGGTTGGAGAATGCACAAAACGGATGAAGTGTGTAGTGTGAATGGCGCTTATAATCAAACAGTCGTTCCTGTGAATCGTGTTCATTCGGGTCATACTGCAAACTTGCCTATTGGAACCAGTGTAAACGAACATTCAGAAGTTGAATTCAGTGAAATCCCAGTCGGATCATTATCTCATTCCGTTGATGATAATAATAGCCGCAATACGCCACAAGTAAATGTGACAAATTCTACGCTTGTCACCGGAAGCAGACTTTCCCGTTACGAAAACAACAACGGAACACAAAACCCACCAAACATCAGTACTATCGGTACAGCCGTCAACAATAATAATTCCAGTACTACCATTGGCCCTCGTTCGGAACTTGAGACGAACAATTGTGCAATACCCTGTGTAGAAAGCGAGAACAAGCGAGCAACTACCAAACCAAGAGTCAGTTTTGATGAGGATTCCAATACCACAGAATACACTGAGGATCTGCCTCGGAACTACGAAGACGTTGTGACATTGCACGTCCCAACAAAAGAAAATTTGTGGCATTCTTGTCGTGGATCGGGACGAAACCGACGAAAACGACGACGTCGTATCAGGTGGTTTTGCAAATCTCGTCAATCAGCTGCATCGACTTGGTCATCTTGGTGGCGCGGACGGTCCGATAAGACAAGAAAAATACCCGGTGAGGAAGAAATGGACACAAAGTCGAACGGAAATCACCTGAATTCTATCTATGAAAACGAAGGCGAGGAGAGCAAACTGACAAACAACGAGAACTCCACATCTCCCCTCTGCAACAAACCGCCATCACCACCAGAGAGACTTACTTCGGGCCCAGAATATGAGTTCAACCGCACCAATACCGGACACAACTGGGAAGCGGATGCGAACGACAAACCGGGTGGTGACTCGGAGAATAACAGTATGGTCTGGACCACCAACTTTCTGGCTGCCCTTAGTATTCTATTGATAATTGTGACATTTCCATTCTCCCTCATTTATTGTATTCGTATTGTGGCTGAGTACGAACGCGCCGTGGTATTACGTATGGGTAATCTTATCCCTAAAGGAAAGGGCACCAAAGGTCCTGGGCTTTTTTTCATATTGCCCTGTATAGATAGTGTGCGCAAGGTGGATTTGCGCACAGTCACCTTTGCCATTCCACCACAAGAGTTGTTAACTCGTGATTCTGTCACGGTGTCAGTTGATGCAGTGGTCTACTATCGTGTATTGAATCCGGTCGCCTCGGTGCTAAATATCGAAGATGCCGCTCGATCGACTAGGCTATTGGCACAGACAACTATTCGAAATGTTTTAGGCACGAAGGACCTTGCCCAGATTCTCATGGATCGTGATGAGATTTCCACTTCAATGCAATCCAGCCTGGATGCCACAACAGACGCATGGGGCGTTAAAGTGAGTTATCAACTTTGTTGGCAAATTTTGTAACTGCATACCCGTGTCGTGTTCACCTGAAGCTGTGCTGCGAATGTTGGTGAATCAGTAACCAGCACTGAGTGATAAATTTTATTGTGAACGTGAGGCTTATCTAAATGACCCTTAGATAAGTTGTGCTCAAAGTGAAACATTATATTTATTCTGCCCCAGCTCAATTTCTCCACCGGAAAACGAAAATCTACGAAAATCAGCTCCGAGAATAGAAGTAAGGATGAAGAATATATGTGCAGGATAGTCGCCGCGGCAAATATCGGTTCAACTGCTAACCTAAATGAAACTCGTAATTTGACACAGCTAGTTAGGTCCCCACTGTAAGTCAAATGCCGTTGAAAAATGCTTGTTATTGCGGTTATTGCATGGATACATATTGAATTCAGAAATTGTTGAAAGGTTGAGAGCACATGTAAATAAGTAAAATGAAACAGCCGCATTGTATCGAAATTTTGATTTACAGGGTAGATGAAATGAAATGGTTGTCAATTATGTACTCGCTACATCGGTGATGCCATTGTGAAAACGCTCATGAAACAATTTATCTCGTACCATCATACGCTTCGATTGCAGCATAAAGACAGTCATTGCAGTTAACCTATCTGTTTGGTCAGGATTGCTAAATTACAGGGCACAGCTTATTGCCGGAATGCTATTGAATTTGTGGTCTCTATGATTGCGCAGTTCAATAATCTGAAGGGCCAACCTCCTTTAATCTGTACTCTGTTACTGCAATATTTAAAACAAGTACAAAGTAATTATATAATTTTTGATTCGTCAATTTTTCTGCCCATACATTAGAACCCGTGAATCAATAAATGTCCTTTGTACCGTCCAAAAACGAGTCACCTTCTANATTGAATGAATTAGTGATATTGTTAATGTCCAGTGTAGAACTGGTGTGGGATAATCGTTCATCCCATTTTCGATCACATGAATACCGATCCGGCTTTCTGGTAGAGGAAACTAAATTAGCGTAAGACGTTTGAGAGCACGTACAGTTTGGCAGCAACAACTGCTCACACTAGTTTTTCCCGGAAATCACGATCGCAAACCATTCCTCATTCTGCTTTTTTATTTGGATCAGTCACAATTTGATGCGAATGATTGATTGAATTCGTTTCCCAAATCGTGTAGCAGAAGTAGTTTGCGGTGAAGAGCACAATCAAATTTGCACACAATGTTAATGACAACCAATCGATAAAGTCAAATGTATGTATCCTCCCCTTCTCGAATGCATCTTTTCGCATTGTTAGAATTAAAAACAGAATAACCTAGAAAAGCCAGATATCATTCTGAAACTAAAAAAGTAGTGAATAAGATCAAGGTAATATTAGTGAGATTTTATTCCATAAGTTGCAATACAGATTGAGCTGCAAATTTTTACGTAGTACATGTGACAGTTTCGATGTGAAAACCATGGCAACCACAATATACCATTACAGTCATTTGTTTAATTCTTGTCTATAGACTGTTGCCGTGGAAACCCAATTGTATGATCAGCGGGGCGAAACTAAAGGTTTCAGTTCGAAAGCAAAGCAATCATGTTTGTACTTACTGATATCAATCTATCAGGAGTTATTATTTGACGAGTTTTGCGTACAATATGCTAGCCTTTCGAAGTTTCATGGATGAGTCCTTACTCACTGTCAGAAAAAAAGGTGGAAAGTGAAATTGCCTTTTGCACACAACTTAAAGTTTGCCGGTCTGTAAAAAGTGGAAATTTCAAATCGGTTTGAAGACAGAAAGTTTCTTTCTGTCGTTCGGACATACCGGTTGTTTATGCAAGCGGTAACGATATTCGCCTTTTTCATGATTATTTTTTACACGCAACCGAAAACTTAACTCTGTAATTGATATGAAGATACAGCAATATATTTATTTTTGATTTCAGACGCTCACGGATACTAACTTGGAGCTTACCGCTGATCGATGAATTAACCATGTGTAGAAATATATAACAGACAGTGCATTTGAGGTGCCATTATGATGTTTTCATTGTTATTTAGCAAGTTTTAGCGAGTTTGCTATAATTTGTTTGATTCTGTTGACAAGGAATTCAACTCCGTGAGGATTTATGCGGAAAGAATCATCGTTTCGTCGTTCAAACGGAATCTTCCCTAGAACATAAGAGTCGCACTTAAGTGGCCGTTATTGAGTGCTCAATGCCACCTTTTCCAAACTGTACTTAGGATTTTGCATTTTAAAGTGAAGTGCTTCAAAATGCTCGCATTTTAACGCATCTTGACCTAACGAAGTACCTTTGTTGATCAAGCTAGTGTGTACGGATTCTGGTTTTATTCTTACTCTAGGAATTGATTTGACCCCAAGCATCTAATCCTTGATGTATCTGAATTTGAAATTAAGTTCATTGTTTCAATTTTCATCACTATTTTCTATGCTTAGATCCTGAAAAGGTATGTTATTAGTGAAAATTTGGAAATCAAATGACGACAAAGGTCCATAACTACCGGTGAATAACTTAATCTTCTTTCGTTCAGACTAAACATCCAGACCAACCAATTTGGAACCCCTTGGGAATTTCACATGCATGTTTACATGGAGATGTTATCATGGAATAGACAAATGCATGCATTTACGATTATCGGTTACTGGATAATCTGATAAGCTGAAATGCAAATACATAATTTATAGGTTACATACGAAATGGGGTGGGGGTGATATGAAGCTGCGATGGATCCCGATGTCAATCGTGACGCTCACAACAGTGTAGGTATGATTGATGGTGACTCATATAACTGCACACACGTGCTTCAGTGAATGAAAAACCAAGAATGAATCAATGTTACGAATGGGGATGTAGAATGAACATTCGTAAACCACGAAGTGCTTTGCATTCTTTGTCCTAACGTGCATTGGGTATCGGAGGTATAGAATATCATGAAGAACTGACTTATGGTTACTTTCAGCAACTCCGTTATATGCATATCAGTTAATGAAGATTCGGTTTTACCAGTCAACAGATTTATTCCCCAAACCATGGTGTGAAATATTCCTTAATTTGTTGAATCTTTGCTTACCGTCATGTTTGAATCAAATATAATTGATAGTGGTGTGCAACATTTTTCTTATTCACCTTTGGATAAAATGTAAAATTGAATATTAACAATCGATGAAACGGCTCGACAAAAACTGCAGTTTCCACTTTTACCAAATTGATACAATGTTTGAATATTTTTTCCAATAAATTTTTAATATGATCAACGATAAGTCACAGATTTTAGAGTCAGGCAGATTTTAGACACGAGCAGCATTCATTATTATATATCAGACTGCTCCTGGTGACCGTCAAACACCATGAACTGCTTTTATCACTGTAATCTGAACACAACAGTAACATGATATATGGGTTGCTATTCAGTCACAAGCTATAAAAAAGAGACTATGCATTAGGTATTCTGGTCTTGTTGCCATAACAAAAAGATAGGATTATGATCACACATCTTCTTTTTCATAATATGATACAAACATCTTTCCCAAGACACACGGAGATCAATATAGTTACAACTCAAAATATTGCTGATTGAAGGGCAACGAAAGCAGACGTACCTACGTCTAATAACGATAAATTTCTATGTTATCAGTAAAGTTTTGCCCGACTGACCAATGAGACACAGGGAGATTCAAAACAGCAGGCGATTCCATAACAGCAAATTGTGTATCTCTCGATGCGCCTCACTGTGGAGTGATCAACCTGGAATTATGCGGTATATGGTTGATTATTCTTGCACCTACAGACTTTTATCCTCAACCTGTCCGCTAGAAGGGCAACAACCCTCTTAGGGTATTCGTATTCATAAAATAAACCTGATCTTAACACCATGGTAAATTTCTATCTGTCTTGCATCGTCACAATGAAATATCCATAAAAAATTCATACTGAGTTCAAACATTGAGCATCAACAGTTTCCACTGTGCTGGTTCCGAAATTCTCATTTATGTTTGCAAGCAATGTTTAGCCGTAACGTCACAAAATACCTTCACCTACGTTTTAGTCCGAATGTAATCGGAACTCAACATGGTAAACGGTAAAGTGATAGACGGAGGTTATCCTGTGCGTCAAACGATACGGATTCAAAAACTTGTGTGAGGTGCATTTTTTCAGGTTTTTGAGTTGCCAAATTAGCCAACAAAGACTAATTTGAAGACGTTTAGCTTTTGAATCCAAAATGACAATGAAACATACATTCTTTTGTGTCATTTAGTTCCAAGTTAGTGAATTCGATTTTGACAACTGTATCATAAAAGATTAAAAACTGTGAATAGTATATTTGAATTTATAGAACACAAGAATACAGTATGTATCTCTCATTTAGCAATACTTTGGAGTTTACTAGATCGTTGTCATGGCTTGTTTGTCAGATAAATTCAAACCAAAAGTAGGTTTGGGTTTTGGACTATGATTGAATGTATTACAAAGCGCAAGTTTGGAGAATTGAGTTATGAAGACTGTTTTACGAAGCTTCGCAGAACGACAATAATGACAGTTTTCAATAATTTATAATATGACCCGCTATCATGTGTGGGGAAATAGAGACGGGTTAGGAACGTCAAGATCTCAAATCCAACGAAATATTTAAACAGTAAATGTTTGCCAAACGAAGTGCAAAGTTCCTATCTTTTGGTAATTTTTGCGAGGATGGTTCACGGTGTATTATCCGAAAGAAAACAGGTATAGATGCATATAATGGTTTTCATATTTATGGTGACTGAAAAAAAGTTAACATAAAAATAAACTTCTAGCATTAAAAAAGTCTGAATCTAAAGATAGATATCCTTTTCAAACAGACAAAATTGATGTTATTCATGAGTATTTATATTTTCAACTTTGGCGTGATTTATCAACTGCGGTGAGCGTGGTTGTAAACAACAAACAAAAGCTAATTGATATTAGTAACTATCCCTTATCCGACAGATTTTCTCTTTAATTGTGACACCTCTGCTTTTTTCAATTAGTAATGAAATGTAAGGACAGTTTCGGTATTCAATGAAACTGGTTGATTCATCTTTATTCAGGATGCGTGATCCTACTACCCCCTAAACAATTCAAGATGCATCAGCTAACTAGCAGTTGTGACAGAAATCGTTGCCTGACAATAGCACTTGCTAATAATGTTTATTATAATTTTGATCGAATTCAAACATTTAGGAAACGAATTGTATGAGTTAATTTGCATATTAAAATTTCACAACAAATAACAGATTCGTTTTCATTCACCTATATTTATTACCAGATACATTGGGTTTCCACGGTAGTTCTGTTGTCTGCGTCGCTCATAAGTAAAAAGCACTGTTTTCCAACGCAAACTCAAAAAATTCCCGGTAATTTCCTCTTTATATATGCCTTATTAGACTGAATGTTTTGCGTATTAACTGCACTCGATTGAACAGAATAAAACACTACAAATACCACCGGTGAATAGTAAGCGCTTTGTGAAACTGACCGTCGTGTTTAACAGCTCGTAATTGAATAATAACAAGGATATAATATGCAAAGCTCACAACATGCTCCAATATGCGCTTTATCAAAAATGTTTCATATTTTTTAAGGTTGAACGTGTGGAGATCAAAGATGTGCGGCTTCCCATCCAGTTGCAACGGGCGATGGCTGCTGAAGCAGAGGCTGCAAGAGAGGCACGAGCAAAAGTAAGTTGCAATTTAATAATGCCCCAATTCGCTATACGTTGGGATACAAACTGTTCAACACAGCTCATATTCGAATCGGTCGTAGTATTGTGCATAATGATATTTTCCCATTAAGGTCGTGAGAGTTCCTACAGAACCTCGGGTGAAAACATACACTGAGAAATGAGAAGTAGCTTAAAATGGTGCCGTGATTTACTAGCTAAATATTTACGTCCGACTCAAGTGCCTTGTTCTTGGTTGGCTGTTATTTTTATTTCGCTTATTTACTTCTTACTTCTTATGAATAATGTAATATCGCAAAGGAAACTCTCACGAGTTTGGTGCTGAATTCACTGCGCTGAAACTTGTTAACCCTTTTGATTCCCACCTGATTGAAAGAAAATGTTTAACCANAATAGGAGTGAAATCGCCCCCAGTTTTTTTCCTACTGCCGTTTTTTGTCGTATAGTCTAACCCGGCATTCGAGGGTATGGACCGCAACTTCACAGACTGCTTGGCGTTCTCTCCTGTTGGTCGACACCCTTATTTTCGTTCATATTTCAAAATTCGTCATAACTATTGTATTTTGGGAAATTATGTTCACCCGTTGCGATGTTTTGTTTGGTACATTTACCTCTTGTTCATGCTCATCCCCTAAATTTACAGACAGAGCAAACTTGATGAAATCTGATACAAAGCTGGCAAAAGTTCTGACAGTTTTTTATTTATCAAGCAAAATACAGACTAGAGAAAGAAGGGATGGAGACTTCAAAACTTGAAAATCAATCGTCTCAACCAAGAATAGTTTTGAACTACTCAGGAGTTTGCTTCACTCTATCGCAATTGACACAAACGTTTGTCACTAGAGACAAGTTCCAATTCACCCCACTCGGTAGGTACTTAAGTGAAAGATTTTGGATAGGGTTATTATTTGAAGGGAAGAACGAACGTTAGTGAATGAGACTGATTGTGAGTGAGAGGGGCAAAATTTCCTTGATACATCTGTTACATAATTTAAGTCGATTTGTCTATGACATGAGTGTAACATATGTGAAAGTTACCAACAGCACCATTTGAATACAGAAAAATGCGTTAATGGCCAAAATCAGTTCCACTGTATTTCTTGTTGCATGCTGAGTTCAGCACAAAAGAATCGTGAGTTTCTTCTGATTCACTTCATAACTCATTGAACCATTTTTCACGAGGACTCAGTCAAGCAGCAGCATCGAACCTTGACAACTTGTCACAAGCTTCTAACCCGGGTCATCAGAGAATTAGTTCGATGCACTTATTCAGTCGATAGATGCACCATGTGACGGAAACCCTTTGAAGTTTTGCGGTTTTAATCCCTAAAATTATCACTCTATTTTTAAAAGGTTACTTTGACGGTAATCTACAAACTGTGCTGGTTACGCTCTAATCACTAAGTTATCTCATAGAAACTTTCTTGCTTCGACAAAACGACATGCGTCTAACAGTTTCGCGTACTGAGCAAGAGAATTTCAGCTAATTATAGTTTTCTAGCCCAATGACGAGAAAATAAAAAGTTGACATACGGTTTATTTTCCAGATCGTCCTAAAAGATATTAGGGTGCTTGGTATCATTCGAACGTTAAAAAGTCAGTAAACGTTTGAAGGCTCAGTGAGCGCAATGTTCGTTTTTGAGAGATACAAGTTGTACAGATCGTAAAGAATGTTGAGGACGTAGTTGCTCCTGACCCATACAGATTCAAATATTGCCGAGATAGCTTTTCGAAAAAGATAATTTTCCAATGATTTTATCAACTCATTTGAAAATTCTGAATTAAAATCCAACCAGAGGTGAGACAAGAGGGCGTTTTATCACTCTATCCCAAACCGTTTTAGTGACATAATTACAGATTACAAATGTGTTTTGTTTACGAAAAATAATTCAGGCTTTCATAAAAATAATATTATATTACTTAAATGATTTATGAATATAAAATCTCATAAATATTCCAGTGTTTCATGACGATGCGCATTGGTAGACAGTAACATGAGGTATTTCGGTACATGATTAGTTTGTAATAAACAACAAGGTACAATACATTTTGGCTGGTATGATTACCAGTTATTGTGAAACATCAGAAGACTCTGAACACCCAGGTGTGTGAATTAAAAACGCGTCCGTAACATGGGGATTATGTGTACTTATTGTCCGGAGTCGTCACTACATGGAATAGTTGTTAGCCACTGGAACACACTTATGTATCATGTTATGATCTCTATGCTTGATTAGTCACACGTAAATACACACGGTTCATATTGCGACCGGCAAAAGTAAATTGAACGCAGGAATCTTACAGTTCGTGTTATTGTGTTTTTCCAGTCATCATTTAAGATCATGTTTATAACAACTTCCTGTTAGTTAACCACGAACCGTGACCGAGCGGATTGTGTAATTGTTGTTCTATTGGAAACTGTGGAATCCAAATGCCACATCGAGGTTTATATTGTTCCTTAATTTAGCTTTTGGAAATGTTCGCTGAAGAGTGACATAAAGCCAACCACATTCGGTTGACTTGTGTTGTAACCTTTAGTGTGTATAACCTGCTCATCAACAATAAGCAATGGCTGAACCTGGGTGTGAACGCTTCTCTGAAGATAATCTGCAACTAAAATGTTATATCATATTACATAGTGGATGTACCAGTCAGGTGTCACGTTATATTGATATAGTTGCACCGGAATGCCACACAGCGAGTGTCTACCATTGTTTTGCCGGACGCTTCCGATGACATCGGAGAAGCGAAGAACGGAGAATGATAGTGCCGGAAAATCTGTCCGTAGGTACAGTCACTTTAAACAAAACACGAAACAAACTGGATTTTAGCTTTATTCGGTCTTGTAAAGAATGTAAAGTCCATGAGACATGTTACCAGAATACTTGATCCAGAAACAGAGGGCAAATGCTGTTTCTTACCCATTTTTTTCTTCCTATGATCAAACTCTTCAAACTAATTTTCACCGTCTACATTCTGCCTAAAGAAAACGAAGCAATCCGTAGGACAAACGACCGTTAGTTTTACGAAATTAACAGAAAATTGCGCTGCAAGGTTTTATTCCAAACTGAGGGGTATTTAGTAAAATTGAAAAGGGCGGTGTGCATCTCATACTTGAACAAAAAAGCTTTTTTAAAGAGAACATAATCTTGAATCAAATGATGGTGCAAGTTGTCCTAGTACAACTGAAGGGTAACACATCAGGGATTCAAGAAACAAGTGAAAAGCATTCAGTGGTGAGCGTGAATGTTTGGTGGTGAAAACCAGATCGATAAAATCTCCACATTTAATCCATTATTGTGACTTGGCTTTTGAAGCCAATGCGTAATCGCCTAACGGAAAGACTATTTGTCTTTTCATGAATGTGGGCCATTCGAGGTGAAACGTGAGAAATGAACGTTTCTCGTGTGTGGGGTGAAGTGGTCGCCCTGGTTAAAAAAATGTGTATTCGGCTTCATTTTACTCTATTTACAATTGTCAGATAGGTAATCCCAAATACTCGCTGCAAATGCTGTCTTGCGTCTAAAACTAGTGTGAAGAGGGAACTGATGATCCGTTGTCCGGAGAGATAGCTGGCGTAAGATCGATGTAGAACATGTACGATCGAGACGCGTTACTCTTCGGATGAGTGTTAAGCATTTGTAGTATTGAAATAAGATCGTTTCTTATTGATAAGTATGCATTACTGTAACTGTGAAGAGAGTAAGTAATGGATTTTGTGCCCGCCAAACACACACCTCCGTTGAACAAATTTCCTTAATCCCCCAATTAAGCAACCTTTCCAGTTTACCTTACCAGTACATTGGCACAACACTACAGAATTCACTTTAAGAATAAATGTCCTCCGGAATTTCTGGCACTTTTCTTTTTGGCACTACATATAGAGAATTTTACGAGGCCTTTTATTTCCGTTTTGGTTGTAAATAGTGCATTGTTGTAAGCAGTATTTAATTTTCATAGTACACTTCTGATGTATAAAATGGCAGAACTGACAGATGCAATGTTGCCATAAAGTGTTATGTCTCAGTCTTTGTAATGTACTCGTTTGCCAAAATGGCGAATAAAACGCATCTCATAGCCTGGTAATCGTTTCTGTTTACGAGTTCCCTTAAAACAAAAGCAGATATTGAGATGTTCAGTTGAAAGTAATTATTATTTCTGGAATTCTGAAAGTTATATGTGTACATGGTTACTTAGAAACACAGGTTATTTTTTCGTACACGTCACGATCGATGATTTATTAACCGTCAGAAAGTGATGCATGTGTTCAGCATGAGGTAGTAACGGTCTGTTTGCCCAATGCTTCCGAAATAAACAGGTAAAACTATACATCGCCTAGAAAGAATGACTCATTGAAGACTCCCAAAATGGGGGATCAAAAGGAAGAAACTGTGGTTGTGAATATTGCAGCGAAAAATATTGCAATTGGTCATTATCAGATGTGCATGACAAGCTGATCTTGTGAAATATTGTGTAAGTATTTGAATGGCACAGCAATTTTCCGAAGGGTAAAGTGGGAACGTTGGTTGCAAAATGATAACGTTGGACGAGCTTGTCAGACGATAATGAATATTATTATTCGTTGGAGTGCATCCATCGAAATGCTATACATGTTAGTTGTATACATAGGTTTGGCATATCAGACAGTTGTTGACTTGGTAGACTGATTACGTTGAGATTGAACAAGATATAGCTTAGATGATGACCGATCCCTTTTAGGTTAGATAGTTGTCATCTAATGAGCTTCTTATTACCGTGGGGAACTAATTTTGGAATTAATCTTTTCCCACAATACTCATTAGGATGAGTATGAAACGCAAAAAGCTATGTGAAACATTCATTCGTTCATATATAGACATTATATAACGCTTTTGAGGAATTTTCCTGCAGTACGCGCCTTGATGTAATGAGATTATTTGAAAATGAATGATAACATTGACAAATCCTTTTGAATCACTATCAGTCTTGTGAGCGACTATACTAAGCATTTGTGTTCACGCTGAGGTAACCGGTGATTGAAAATCATTCTAAGTTTACTGGCTTATCGTTTTCATGAGCTACTAGTAATTCATGAGCGAAAATCATTATACTTCGTTGCACTTATGGAGCTTTTTCATGGCACAAATCTTTAAACACTTTGACTAATCAAATGTAACTTGCTGTCGAAATTCAGTGTAATTCACCGTGTCTGGCGGTCATCACAGCGACCTCTCCTATGCTATCATCCCTATTGTTATATTAAACACCCCGAAAATGCAGTTTTTCAAACTAAAATACCACGGGACAAATTTCTTAAGTATTAGTCACACAGCTTATCAGTATACCAGAAACCTGCGTAGGCTGGAAAAACCATCGATTTAAGTTGTTCACTCAGGATATGTACGAATGTGGAATTAACCTAACTAAGTGGAAAAATGTACTAACTGTTCGAGAAAAATTGCAGTACATAACTGTTCATTTTGAATGCACAACGTCTCAGTTTCGATAACATTTCTTTCGAATTCATCTTAACACAATCCTCATTAGTTGTAGTTAATCAGATAGACACAAAATGTCTAAATCCATTTAGATGTTTTTTCTGTCAATAGCAGCCTCGTGAATCTGATGTATTTGTGTCGATTCGACAGTTACATGTTCACAGGGGAAAAAAATAGTTCACACGGTATCTGAGTCGATGTGCGTCAATCTTCGGTACGGTCTTCACTCCTACGATCAACGTTGATCAAAGGATGAACGTCAGTGTAGCATATTTTATACCGATTTGTGTTCCTTCGAGCAATTCCAGATATGTCGAAATGAGCACGTCGATCATAGCTGACGATAAAACTAAATTCTCCGATGCGCATAATCCTAGCAATTTATCTCTTCTCGGATCACGGATAGCAGCACATTACCACTCCCCGCATCAATCGACAAAACGAAACGGTCCAAAGTGAACCACATGGCTAACGTGACAAAACAGTGATTTGCGCTGCCCTTAAACTCGGTATGCGGGGCTCTGACACACAATGTATCATCTAACACTCTCTGGTTTTGTTGCCCCAATGCTCCAGAGTTTAAGTTTGCGTAAAGCATTGTTATGATTTATACCAAATTGAAGTTTACCGGGAACCGTGTTCCCAATGTGCAATGAGGTTAGAAATAAACGCACAAGCATGACACGTTACTCACATGCAAAAGATATGCCGTGTTACGCCGAGGTAACCTAGAGGCAGTTGTTTCTTTGTGATATCAGTATATACGAAACAATGTGATATCGTCTCAGTTGCATCAAATTTACCGGAGCGTAAAACATCAATGTATAAAACGAAGTGGATGACAAAGAGCCCAATCCCTTAGTGGGAATAATGTTTGGTTTTATATTTTGTAGAAATACCTTTTTTATCGTACGTTTTTGAGTACTTCATTCGTGCGTTAAAAGCTGGATGAACCTTCGTTTGTGAAACAAGTAGATGCCTGTCAAATGCAACTGTTTTGAAACAAATAATAATATATTCATATGGGTGATTTTTTTGCAGCTCTCATGATTACATTTCCTAAATATGTTATCTGTTTCAGGTAATCGCGGCAACCGGAGAACAAGAAGCAGCAAGATCATTGAAAAAAGCTGCACGTGTTATCGCCACTTCACCCATGGCATTTCAGTTGCGTTACCTACAAACTCTTTGCGCCATATCTGCTGAAAAGAACTCGACCATCTTCTTCCCAGTGCCAATAGATATTATGCAACATCTGGGCAATTTCGGTAGTTGCGGTGGCTACACCCCAGCCGCCTCTTTGCGAACAGTAAACGGTTGGGTGCAGAACCAAATACCACCTGGAAAATCAATAACTCTTTCGACCAAAGAAACCGTGAAAGGAATCGATAAAGAACCAACAGAGACACAGCATATTGTTTCAAAACCCGGTGATAAAGAATCCGGGCGCGTTGCAGAAGTGACGGACTCTAGCAAAGAGGAGGTATTTTGGGCGCACGATGATACGGATGAGCATAGTGACACTGTTTGAAAAGGTGTTCACCATAGGGTTTGCCCTTCTTCAAACCAATCTCTCGTTTCCAAATGCTTTCCATGCATTGGATTTCGCTCACTCTCGCTCAAAAGAGCAAAAAGAGCAATGCGCGCACGCGTTTTTGGTTGTGTGTGCGTGTAACAGTCTGTTTGTGATTCACAAATCGGCGGTTCCCTTAAACAACACGTGATCGTATGTGTGTGGACGACCCACTTCAATCGCGCACTTGTAGTGTCCTCGTAGATGTCCGTTTCACCGCTGTCACCACATCCATGTGCACGTCTGTTCGCGCGCCCGTTTCTTGTCCGAATCACATGTTCATCAACTGACAATAAGTGTGGTCTGATAGCCAACACAAGCATACGCGACTGCACCGAATCTATCGAAGCCCCGTTGTTGCGAACCTTCTTTCCCTAATCAAATAATTTCCGGCGACGACGACATTTTGTGGATATTTTGTTGTTTCACAGAGTGCAATATATGTTCATACGAGCCCAATAATGTGTTCAAGATAAATTACGGTACCTCAGTAAGGCTTATCGAAGTTTGATTTCAAGGTGATGTGCAAATTTGAGGAATGGTCTCGAATTTGCACTGCATAACTGAGATACATAAACCGGTTCGGCTATAACAATACTGCTTGATACAATTACATCACAATGATAAGTCCACCCAACTGAACGACAGTTTGACCAGGCAGTTCACTTTCAAACCCTAGTACGATACTCCAAATATTAGAACGCACGGACTAAACTGCACTGCAACGCGAAGATACGTTCAAATAAAGGACGATATTTACACCAAAGCAGAAAAAACTATCTGGAGACTTCCCGCCCTGTCAATGGATCATTATCAGAGAAAAACGATGACCATTCAGTAAACTTGGGACTAGAATTGAACAGTTTCTGGAATATTTGTATTATACTTAAAAGGTGATTGCTCTTGCAAATAAGGAGCCAGAATAAAGGTAACAGATACAGATAGATTCTGCAGAGAATTCATCTTCAACATTTTATCGATTAGACCAGCCCTGGAAATGTGAATTTCACCTTATTTCCAACGGACTTGTGTTACTCCAGTTTCTTTCAACTAACGAACAAATGATGCGTAGCTTCCGCTGAAACACCCGATCAGAGTTGCAACCTATCTGATAACTCCGTTAACCGAGACACTGACACTGATGAGGTCTGCGATCCCACGGGGAAACAAAAGCAATCAAAAGAAATAGAATCGGGTCGGAGCAGAATAAATCTCAACAACAGATAGCTCTTCTCTTATCGGTCAACAACAATCGTCTGAAAAGAATAAAAAAACCTTCGATCTACCGACACAATCTACGAGCAGAACAACCAATGTGCTAAAACCAAGCTGCTCCTAATGGTCTGGGGAAGGTAGATACAGTTGTTCATGATTTTTATTAACTAACTAAATTACGATATCATTCTTCAACAAAGATGAAATAAAGACCTTTTCGCTGATGTGCAAAGGATGTGATGAGTAACTAATACCTTTCAGTTAATGAGGGATTTACATTGTAAATTCGAAACTCTAAACGAGTTTCAGTATCAATTTGTTGCATGTAGTTGGATTGTAGCATTTTGACCCTACCAGTGGCGACCATTGTTTAAGATACCGTTGCATTGCAAATGTTAATGAAATGCACTGAACAAATATGTTTCAATTTTTTCTTAGCCATTATTATCAGTTGTTGCGCAGCTCACACCCTTTGCCGTTGTCTTATAAGTTGAAAACCGTTAACCTATAGTTGGAAAGGGAGTGTGAAGCGGTAAACAGTTTTTTACCTTTACGTGCATTTCAGAACATATCCAGCAGTGACCAACACTAAGATTTATACCTTTTATTTATAATTGTGCCCGAAACAATTATGAAAGATACATACATATGAACTGAATAGTAACTTGTTTAGAGTTCTTCGTTGAAAGCACGTTTCAAGCAACATTTCGAATTTCTGTTTTTCAAATTGACTTAAAGTTGAACGCTTTGTGTTTAAAATTTATTTGAATTTCAGTTTTTTCAGCATGCATATCCAGATTTGCCTGAAATATAGTGCATCTTTGGATTTGGCCAAAACTGGTTATATATGTATATTTATATATAATGTTTAACACGTAGTTAATTACATAGAATTGGCAGATGTGCCACAGCATATATAGAAAGAGATGTGAAAACGGTTTAAATGCAAATCAACGAATAAGAGTCTTACACCAGGTACACCATTGACGCCGGTTACCAGCCGTATCTGGAAATGTATGAAACCATAGATGTTCTCTGTCCTTGAGATCCCAACGGTGGTCAAAGACACTTGATCTCCGTAGGTCTTCTCCATAGAGGAGCCAACTTTCGCAGCTGTAGAGGAGAACAGAGCGTACGGTGGCATTGTAAAGGCGGCCTTTCAATGAGAGACTGAGATCGCGCCGGCGCCACAAGTGAAGTAGGTTAGCGAAAGACACTCAAGCCTTGCGGATACGCGCTGATATTTCTTACGTCAGTCCTCTTGAGCTGAAACCATTTTCCCTAAAAGTAAATTGATCGACGATTTCCAACTGGTCGTTCATGGGTGTGAGGACAGGTGTAACCTCGTGCCAGTCTTGTAGTAAAATCTTTCATTTCGATGAGGAAAATTCCATACCAAACAGCCTGACCGACAATGCCAACTTGCACAAGACGTTTTGAGCGTCCTGGGAGGAGTCGCAGAGTTAAACAATGTCGTCGGCATGTTCCAATTCACGGAGTCGATCACATGAGAACAGCTCCACATCGAAGTTTTCTAGAGCGCTGTCTAGGATTTTATTTATTGCGAAACTAAAGAGGAAGGGCCAAGCTGTGCACCCTTGTCGAAATCCGCTTGTGATGGTAAATGAAGGGGAGATGCGATCATAAACCTTGATACCGTCTGATGTGTTTGAGTAGACGACGTTTAGAACGTTCTCAGGCACACCACTTCCTACTAGACAAATCCAAAGGGCTGCTCTGTTAACTGAGGCAAACGTAGCACGTACATTTCCAAAAACACAATGATGGTCAATCTACTGAACGTTTCACGTTACTCTAGGATCTGGCGTAGCATAAATATGTGATCAACGCAGCTCCGGCCTAAGCGGAATCCAGCTTGTTCTTCACCAATATATCACCTTCTTGTCCACCTGAGCCTGTGAAGGATCAACGACGTCATAAGCTTGGATGCAACAGATGTGAGAATGATCCCCAGGTGATGGGAGCAATCGTACAGAAGTGGTCATTCCTGAAAACAGGTATGACGTCCGCCATACTCCATTCGTATGGAATGGATTCGGTTTTCCAGATTGTTTGGAATAAGGAAGTTAATTCGCGAAACAACGTTTGCACCATCGTCTTTGAAAAAGGCCGAAGAGAGCTCATCTGGACCGAGCGATTTGTGGCGTTTAAGAAGTCTGCACTCTCGGAAGACTTCTTCCTTCGTAGATAATGAAATGTCCATAGACCATGGAGCAATACGGACGTCGGGAGGTGTAGGTAATGATGTCAATGGCCAACTGAACTGTTAATGAAGGTGCTCCGCCCAGCGCCTAAGCCGAGGTTGTAGATTGTGGGTACATTCACCAATAATTTTGCATATGGTTTTACTGACGCATTGTTTTTGTTACCGCTGGCTCGTATCCATCGTAGATATTTATGAGCATTACCGGAAGCAGAGGCCAGTTCCTTCTTGGAAGCGCGTTTTGCTTACCAGGTCTCTTGATCCTCTTTCAGGAACCGTTTCAGTTCAGCACTGAGATTCCCATTAACTGTATTTTATTCATTCTCTGGAGGGATGCTTCGACGATTATTGAGCAGTTCGAGAGAACGCGGAAAAAACATTGATTGACTCTGCGTTTGGTGAGGCCACATGCTGTGTTAGTGGGCTTATGCCAGACGGTACAGATGAGTCTACCGGTTGTCAAACTTCAAGGACGACAGACTGTTCAAATTAGCAGCTAACGTGTTTTGGAAGAGGGTAACTACGTTTGGGTAGGCCAGTTGCATCAAATTGAGTCTTCTCGGGTGACTTTGCAGTTTTTCGCCAAAGTGCAGACAGAATTTCGCGCTCAAGAGTGCACAATCATAGCTGCGGCATGTGCTCCAGATGGAGTAGTAGTCCGTTATGTAATTTATCCATTGATAGCTGATGACAATATGATTCATTTGAGTCCAGAGCTGATCAGACGTTGGGGATTGCCAGGTAGCACGCTGGTGCCACGGTCGGCGAAAATTGGGTCTCGAAAAGGAGATACCATGAATAACTCAGATTTGTAGAAAACGACCACCGTTGTCAGTTCTCCAAACACCGAGACCATTTGAAGTTTTGTCAGCGTCTAATCTACCTACGTGTGCGTTCAAGTCTCCAGCTACTATCACGATTTCAGTATGTCTTCTACGGTGGAGATGTTTGGCGAGCTGATGTAATCCGTCGGTGCACAAGCCACGATGACGAACAAACAGAGCTTGTTTGTGCTATTACGAAAGTCCTTCACCGATCCTTTCAGGCGGGTGGCACATTGTCAACTATTGATTGGAATCCAGTCGAGGAAATTTGCTTCTGCGCTTGCACTTAGTGCAGTCCCCACGCCGGCCTGATCAGCGGCCTCTGCCATCGGATCTCCAGAGAAGCGGAGGATGAACGACCTTGAGAAGGTGAAGCGAGTTGCAGTACGGTGCTCAAATCGTGTATTCGTGTCTCAGTAGGACAGCAAACGTCCATGGCAAGCGTTTACAGTGTGCGAGTGAGTGTTGTCTGAGCCCCAACGTGCATAAGTGTTCCAACATTGCAAGTACCTAACTTAATCTGCCACCAGGGGCGAGAATCATTTTGAAGAACCTAATCAGAAGTTTGTGCTTTCGCATGGGAACAAGACTATGGTTCCTGCCATTATCTTGACCAACACACTGTGGAGCCGACCGCCAACACCTCGATCAAAGAGCGAAAAATTCAGAAATGCATGATGTGTGTTCATACGTTG